TGTGTGATATTATCAAATAACACTTCAAAGGCCAAGCGAAAAAATTAAAAATAATAAACAAATCAGTTTGACATATAGTCATGCATTTACATGTAATACAACATATGGTGAAGCATAAAATGATTGGTTATAAAAAAAAACACACAGACGCACACGCAAAGGCAGTTTTAGAGAACAATTCTTATACTTTTTCCTATTTTGAAAGAACATTATCAAGACTATTTATATTCTTAATCTTGGAAACTAACGTGATCTTTCACAAATATTTGTCAGATTTTTTTTTCACGTGTTTACTTAGTGTGCATTAGGCAGTAAAGTTTGACATGAATATCTCAAAAATATAATAGGTATTACATGCAACACATTTTTTATACCTATACTTTTAAATTAATACATTTTGCGAAATGCACCGGAGCTCTTACATGCACATACTCCTCAAAGAATGCAATAGTCACAAGGCGATATCCGTAAACTACATTTTCATTGCATTTGCATATATACTCAGTACATTTGTACTTTCATTTAGAAAAAAAGCTGAGCCCTGAAATACCAGTAGCCAAACAATAATGCAAGGTCGGCTGTGGTTTATGGATCATAATTTTGGCAATTTTAAATGAAACTGACAGCAAACAATTGATTGTGTTTTACAAAAATATATGAATATATATTCATAAAATATGATTTTAAAAAATTAAGAACACCGCTAAGTATAGCACCCCCTCGAAGCAGGTAACGGCGATGTCGCCATACCAGGGAAACATTTTCATGAGGGACGTTAAACAAGATACAAAAATCTTAAAATCTAGAGCATACAGTAAAACAACATTGTTTACAATTGTATATAGTAAATAATGTTTAAGTATACAATACACAAAAGACTGAAAGGGTCAAAATGTTAAATTATACATTTGTTTAAAATCGTCACATAAGTGAAAATAATAATAACAAAAAACAAGCTCACATTGGGCAAAGGCTTATAAAATGATTCTTCAATTAATTGCAACATACCCCAAGGATAAAACAATGTACATGATTTTTAAAATATAAATCGCATTTGAAGTAAAGGGAAGGAGTAAAAATGTAAATTTTTAGCATTGAATTATTCATGTATGTAGGATAGTCTCATAATTGCAATGGTGTGTGCAAACAAGTTTTCAAAACGGGCTTACCCGCGTAACCAATTTGTTTGCACACACCGATTCAGTTATGAGACTATATCTTTCAAAAATAATGGTTGAATGCTGAAATTTCATGATATTTTTATCCATTGTTTTGGGAGTTTCTCAAGTATACAATTTTCATTATTATTCTTTATTCCTAAAATATACATTATTGGCCTTTTTAAAAAAAAAAAATTCTTCCCATCGTCTCATACCACGGTCAGGATAACGTATATAGCTTACTCCTATCCCTGGCTACATGATCACATATAGAACTGCAATAAATTACATTTCAGGCAATTTGGCCATAACTTCGTTGTTAAATACAAAGAGCAGTTCACTGGTACTGTAATTGATTAATCATCATGATTCCAGCGCTAGGTAGTAAATTATCATTAAATCCAGCTCTTTGGAAAAAAAGGGGGGGTAGACGATATTTTCTATTGAAATCGAACGTTCAAGCATCACCATATTTATACCCTTGCTCCAAATGAGAGGGGTTATACTTTTTTACCCTTGTGGGCCAATGTGTGTCTGTCTTTTCGTAACAAATTTTGGTCGCAGTTTACTAAGCAACTACTAATCGTAGATGCTTGAAATTTTAACACAATCTTCTCATAGACATGCCATATGGTTGGATTCATATTTGTTCAAATCCAATGTCAACTTCCTGCTTATCCGTGCGTCTGTCAATTTCAAGCATAACAATAAGTTTGTCGCAGTTTTCTCAGCAACCACTCATTACAGATGCCTGTAATTTTAGTACACTCTTTGTTGAGGCATGCCATATGGTGGAATTTATTTTTCAATCTCATGTGATGTCAATTTCTTGTTTATCTGTGCGTCTGTCAATTTCAAGCATAACAATAATTTTGTCACGGTTTTCTCAGCAACTACTTATTACAGATGCTTGAAGTTTAAGCACATACTTTAATTGTTAAGGCATGCCACATGGTTGGATTTATTTTTCTCTGATCTGATGACAACTTCCTATTTATACGTGCATTTCCCATAACTAAACTTGGCGTGTATTTTAACATGACAAAGTATATTCACATCAGAGTTGGGATATAACTAGTGACCATTGACTCACAGACTTCTTGTTTGTAATAGCTTTGAATATGATAAAATCTTTCTTATATCTTTTCTTCTGTTTTAAGGAAATAAATAAATAAAACACATATAAATTAATTAAATACTAATATTAAGTTGTAAATCTTTTTGATATTGGTGAAAAATAAGCATTAATTTCTATTGTGAAAAACAAGTTTTACCAAAATTATAGTTATCTATCTTTGTTTTCCAAAATAAGTAACGTTTTTTTGAAAATCTATGTAATTATCTATAAAAATATTAAAAACCGTTCAAATGTGTTAACTTCTGAAATTTGACTTGGGGTATAGTCGTAATGTATAGTTATTGACTGGATATGAGGGTAACATCGATTTGTTGAACTTTTGGAACTTTCCTGAGGCCACGTCAGACCAAACAAAATATGTTACGAGAATATCAGTCTTTAACTGCTTGGTTTCCTTAAGAATTAACAACAACGTTAAAAAGTGCTCTTGAAAATGGACTCAGTTGGTCACAAATCCTGTGAAACCTGAAGGGCTTCTAAGTAGATTTGATTGTGTACCAACTAAGTTCATTTCCCAGTGAACTTTTAAAATAATGTTTAGCTTTATATATTTATTTAAGACACATTAATTCCGAGTAAAACTTCATTTATTACAAAACCGGGTCGGCGTTTTGCTACGTTGTGACCCACGATGACTTAAAAGTTGTTTGGTTTTGAAAGATATTAATGCAAAATTAAAATTATCTTGTGTTTAATGTGTGGAAAAAAATATGTGCTGACATTTCGCTTTTCCATATAATATGTAATTGCAAGATGGTTTGCGGACTGCTCAGGTATCATTATTAATAAGTATGGTAACGACCGTCCTATCAAAGCCTATTCGATATTCGAATAATTTCAATTTATATGGTTGTTATTGGACATATACATGTATATATTTCACATTTATTGCATGAGGGAATATGATATTTCTTAACCCAATAATTTGCATGTTTTTCGAACTTTCTTCATGCAATAAATTGTTTATTATATCGAAACAGGAAAACACTTTTTAAAAAATGAATAAATAAATGTTAACTTTAAAATTCGACATTGCTGTCAGATTCATTTCTCATTACACTTTGATTTTTGTGAGATAAACCTGTACTACTCTCGGCAGTTTTCGTTCAGCGCACGATAATCATTATGGGGAAATGCACTAAGCATCCGAAGAGTTTGAATAGCATGTCATCGACAAGGAAATATGAAGTTTTATGGCTCTGTCATGTGATAATCTAGGAACCAGTCAGATGAGGTATGGTATATAGATTAATTATAACAAGGTAAAGTATTATACATATATGTTAACATGAAATTAATCTTTTTTCACTTGCATTAGGAGATGTTTAACTGCATTGATTTCACCATATCTAAGTACTTGGAAACGTTGATATGTTCGTAAGTTCTTTGTAATAATGCTCATGTTGATCATTTGTTTGCTCTATATTTAAAGAGGTATAGGCTGAATTTGAAGGGTTGGTTGTTGCAACAGTCTCTGAATTTCTTGTCAAACTGTCACTGTTTGTCTCAGAACTCTGCATTCTGTCAAAAAGAAATTAAATCTAAAATATTCATACTGGAAAACGATTGTTAAAATATTAGATATAGAAATTGATTTGTTTTACATATTCTCATTATTTTTTTTTTACTTATTTGATTATGGAATTTAAAGTACTTTGAAGTATTAGATATTTTCTCGTAATGCTGTTCAGGTAAACTATGAGCTTGCTCTGGATTTAAAGTATAATAGGCTGAATTTGAACGAATTAATGTTGCAACTGGATGTGAATTTCCTGTCAAGATGTGAATAGTATCGACAAGACATTGCATTCTGCAAAAATGTAATTTAACTTCAAAATTATTAAATAAAAGTCTTGAAACAAATATTTCGTACTTTGAATAGACTAATATTTTTATCGATCTTAATTTAAAAAGAATAATATTGATGAATTTTATGATTATATTTGTGAACAACCAATATGCATTATCCATTTGTACCTTTCATTAGTCTTCATGTTGTGTACAGCTTGTACAATGACGATCACTGTTAATGTTATAACCAATAAGCCACATATAATCAATCCAATCAAAAGTCCATGATTATGGAATGATGCTGAAAATTGGCAATGTACAATCATTTAATTTAATAATTGAATGGTGCATTTTATGTTATATATTTGCATTTCCAATGTCTTTTTCCGAAATAAAATTACAAATAGTAAATGTACTTTATTTCCCCATGCTTCATCAAAAGGATCGGTTTAAAAAAAATCACGTGCAGGGCGGGACAAGCAGCTAGACAGAAGCAGGGCTTGTAGCACGTGGATTGGCGGAATCAAAAGCATGTAAATATAAGGAATAATTGTCACACTTTTCAATTTCATGACGATGATCAATCGATTAGCTTGTCTGATAATTTTATGCATAAACACCTTCGATGTTGTGATTTTTTTCATTATTATATTACGTGTGTGGATTTTTACATGTACTATATGCCAATGTTCAATTTGTGTCAGTTATCTTTTAAATATGCATATGCATTTTCAGGGATAAAATAGCAAACAAAAAAAAAAAAACAAAAACAAAAACAAAAAAACAAAGGGATCATAAGAGAAAATCTAATTACCGTTCAAATAATATTTTACAATATTTCACAATGAAGCAATCTCATAATTACTTCATAGACAAAATTTACCGGTGAAAGGATAAAACGATAAAGTGTTGTATAAACCATAAAAATATTCAAATTATGATGCTTAACTATTAATGAAGTGAAAGTACTTACCTTGTTCTTGATTTAAAAACTTTTTTTCAACCGCCTTTTTATTTATTTCCACTGAAATGATGATAATTAAAAATACAATTTTACATAGTTAATGTGAATTAGTTTACACGTATCATTACTTCCTTAAACAGTAAACTAGAGAAAAAACTTTTCACACGAGAATTATCAAATAGCGATCCAATATTAATATTTATTGTATGAATATGCTTTACTTACCTGGTTTACAATCAGTCTCATTAACAAGTATGTGCCCATCTCGACACATACATGTTCCATATTGACATTCTAAGTTTTGTGCAGCAGTACACTGTTCATTTCGCTCACAGGTCTGATTGATTTTAAGGTTTCCTTAATGTATTTATAAAAAAAATCTCTTCAATTCATGTCAATGTTAATCGCAAAACTTTATTGAAATAACACATCAGATTTCAATGAAAGAAAATAGGAAGAGTTAGAGAACCTTCTAAACAGTATTCTCAAAATCCTAGATATTCTGATTTGCAGACACAAATCCCAACGTCTTGATTGCTTAAAATACTACACTCTCTTGTTAAGTCTTTGCACGTATTATGCCACGAAAAACACATATTATCCACTATTGCTTCTACAAGGATAATTTAGTGAAATAAAACTATTTTATGAAACGAAAAATATTCACCAATTAATTTGTAAAAAAGCTTTATACGAGGGGCGTTCAATAAATAATGTCATTGGGACTCAGAAAGAAACAAAAAACGCTAATCTATGATGTAAACCTTATGGTTTAAATAAAATATTCTCTTTTAATTAAAACACATGTCCTTAACATTTTCATTTAATTTCTAATTTCTAATTGTTTTCAGAACAAATTTTTGAGTATGACCCTTCGGATACTGGAATATGGCAAATCCTATGATTTGCTGTACTTGTTTTTTTCCCTGATAAATGTTTTCTTCTAAGTTTGGGAAATGAAACAAGTCAAAGGTTGAAAAATCTGGCAAATTATGTTGGTGTGACAAAATATTAATTTTCTGTTTATCCCTAGAACTCCTTTACTCTTCATGGCCTGTAGGTTTCGACGCTATCATGAAGATATTTAATGTGATGAATTCCTCATTCTGTTTCTTTTCTTTCGTGAACCTTTCAATTTTTTGCAAAAGATTTGTTTTCCAGACTCCTTCAGAAACTGAACTTCCTCCCCGAATATGAATTTGAACAACAAGACCGCTGATATTTAAGAAAATAACATATAAGACTGTTTTTGTGCTCTTGCAATTCTTTGTTCTTCTTAGGCCTTTTTGAGAGGGGCGTTAAACAATATACAATCAATCAATCAATCTTAGGCCTTTGCAGTTTTGTCAAGTGAATCTTATTGTAAATTTGCTATGTGAGTTTAAAGCAAAATGGATTCATGTTTCGTTATCTGTTTGAAATTTAAAAAAAAACATGGATAAGTACAATTTTTTGATTTTTTAAAATTAATTGTGTAGATATTCTTACGCGCTGTCGTTTTCATTCATTTCTCAAGATATTGGGTGACCTTTGAGCATTAAACTTTTTTACTATGAAATGTATCTTTAAAACAGTCTAAACTACCCCCAAAATGATTTTATCAACTTTTCTATGTGTCTTAAAGTCAATAAAACATATAATCAATGATTATTTGTTGAATTTTTGCAAATCTACATTGGTTGTTGTAAGTCATTGTTGCCAAGGACGGTACCCATTTTATGCACATTATTTATTTTTTGTATATAAAAATTTACTTGTTCACGTGTCTATAAAACAGCAATTGGTCGCTTTACAATTCCAATATTTCAGTTAATATATTTTTGAGATATTTACAAGTTTTACAGCTGCTTTAATGAAGCATTTAGTTTTGCTCTAGTTTACTGAATCTTGAAAATTCATTTTTAAATTAAGTGTCTCGAATAGCCCTTCATTTCCAGCTTCCCACAATGAAATAATGATATGAAAAGTGTTCACATAAACTGTTATCAATTCATTAAAGATTCAATAATGAAAGAATGTCAAGCTTTATGTCACATGACTTCTTTGTTGTATGTCATCGAGCTAATGACATTATTTTTTTAACGTCCCTCGTATATAGGATTATCCCATGCCTTGCAAATGATTCGTTGGATAAAAAATCATATCCAACTACAAATCCTGAGAGTTTCCTCTCATTCCAGGTTTTAAACATCACTATTTAGGTTTAACACTTCATTCATAGGAACCGACTCCTTTTTTTAATTCATCATTCTCATACATAATCTCTTGTGAAGTTTCCATTGTGAATTATAAAAAAAAATCCAATGAGTCATTTCCAAGATATAAACAATATGCAGTAGTATTGTCAACAAGTACCGGAATAAACTTGATACTTGATCTGGAACACATGACCCAGTTTTAATAACTGTTATTTTATTACAGGAAAATTGTAATTTTCTTTTTTCAAAATTTGGCATCCAGCAAGGATATTAAAAAAAATTCCATTTAAGTTCAATCAACTTTAAAAATATGTTTGCTTGTCCTCTCCCGACTCAGGGTAAAATAATTGGGTCGATAGGTTGGTTAGCTGCAGATCTGTAGCTCTCCGAAAAAAAATATATTGATAGACTGGAGAGGTACAGTGCCACCCATTGAAAAAACTGTACATTTATTGCACACAGGTCTGCAGCTAAAGGTAGGTGTAAATTTTTTTCGAACAATTTCAATACATTTGTATACGCGATGAAAAGAATAAACAGAAAAAAACCATGTCCTGGAATGCAAAAAGAAGTTTTAATCTATGCCATTCTTAGCCAGTGGGTCGGGAGAGGGCAACCAAACAAAAATTTTTAAAGGCGGCCTTACGATGTAATCGATAGGAAAAGTAATTATTTATATTCATATCGTGTTTTTTATACCCATGTTTAAATTTTCACAGTATTTTATTGACAAAAAGAGTTACATAAAATGGTAGCGAATCAGAATTCAGCACATGAGCATACACAGCTTAGCAATCATTTTTCTCAGAAGCAAAAAAAAAGCTCAATGTTATATCTAAACTTTACTTAATTTCATATCATTCGTCTAGTTAATAAAAGAAACTCACAAGTAAAAATAGTATTATCCACACCAGGCTTTAAAAAATGTACTTTGAAATTGAAACGTGGATTTAATTCTTTTTGTTTTAGTTTTTTAAAATCCTTCTTACAATGTGTTACCTGCATAACAACTGTTTCCTAGAGCAACGTATCCCACTCTACATCTACAAATATGATTCTTGCAAACGCCGGAGTAGGTTGTGTCTCTACACTGAATATTAACTATACATTTACCGCCAACAGGAACATCAGCTAAAAGTATAACAAAAAAACATCATATAAACATTGCATTTCTAAATTATACATATAACACAACTCTGTTGACAAAACCCTCATTCCATGATCAGAATGTCATTTGTTCGGCTCACAACCGCGACTGACCAAAGTCAATAAACATGTAACAACTGTTTCATTGCCAACTTAGCATTTTGAAGTGAAAATTGCTTGTCTTTCGGGTCAGATCTTCATAAAAACTAGGCCCTCAGGTACTGTAGGCGTTGGCATGACAAAAAACCTCTGAATACTCAATGGCCTTGAGTGCCAAGTTAAGGTCTAAATTTGAAGTCCTTTAGTTATATAAGTGAAGTCTCTATATGAGAGAAAACTCTACAACAAGAGGTAAATTATCATACAATCAATCAATCAATCAAATATTTAACGCAATTTGGCATATTTTTTCAGTTCTCATTTTAAAATGTCCGAAATGTGTTAAAAAGTCTGTCATTGAAAGAAATCAGGCAAATAAAATTCTTGCATAAAAGGTTTTATTAGCTTATAATTTAAAAAGATTTGGTCTAAAACAATATAATTACTAGGCATAGTATGCATTTAAAACATTTATAACATTGAAAAATTGTGGTTAATTTATTGAATAAATTTGATATTCTGTTACAGTTTGACAGGATATGAAAATGAGCAATTAAAAAGTTTCTGGTCTGCAATAGGGCAGAGACAGTAACTAAAACTCCAAACTGCTTATTTCTTCCTAAACCAGTTATAAATTCATAAAATGAATATAATGATGTCAAATCGGATGATAAAAATAATATCAAAATATGCAAAGAAATGATGTTTTAATCTTTTAACTAAAACAGTACTGCCTGTTGCACTGTATTAAGAAAAGTCAGAGGCAAAGATAAATCAAAGAAAATGTATTCTAAAAAAAAGAAAGAAAGAAAAATCAATGTTGTGAAGTATAATATGGAAGTAATTTTTTCCTCTGTTTTATTTTAGTCTAGTTTGTTATAAAGGATAAGTTATATACAAAGAGTTTATTTTAAACACTTTTGATAGAAAAAAAATCAAAAATCCAGCTCGTATTGCTTTTAGCAAAAGAAGTCTGAATTAAAAACGTTAAACGAGTGTCGGGATTTTTCGTTAAACTTCCACAAATCAATGAAAACTATATATAGAACTTTCTTTGATTCTATACAACTGCACAGCAGTACGAAGATTTTGGTTTGTTCATCAAAAGACTTACTTTGTTCTGTATTTTTCCTTTAATTTTCAAGATCATCTTTAGCACGTCATTCTTAGTTTTTGAAAAATGTTGTCTCAATACTGCAAGTCTTTGCAAAAAAAAAAAAAAAAAAAAAAAAAAAACTGAAAGCATTAACTTCGTGTGTTAACTAGCTAACTATAGCTTAGAAGCTTTGAGTAACCTAAAATTCCAAATGTATTTAACAAATGAATTGTTTGTAATCGTAAACATAAAGAAAATAAAATTTAAAAAAGAATAAAGATTGTCGTTTATTAAGCAATGAATAGAAAAATATTCGTTGTGCCTAATAACCTAGGGAATTTTTTTCCAAGCGAAAATTTGTGTAGAATCCGTAGTTACGCACAATGCAATTCTCATTTTCATTCAGCTGATCTGTCAGTTGAAGCCATTTTGGTACCTCATTTGATAATCTGACTAGGTAAATATGGGTCCTATGCAAGTACATATTGAAAAAAAATATTTCTTAAACATACCTGCAGAAAATAATATCAAAAAGGATACTTTTTGAAATGTAAATGAGTTCAACAGACATTGAGGTGCATTTCTTAGATAGCATATGGTAATGAAATATGAAATACAAGGGAATTTTTTTGTTTAACGTGTCTCCACGTGCTAATCACTTTCTAGCCACATTTCCGCGAATACATATCCGTGAATAATCTATCCCTTCTAGCTGTAATCTCACCAAATCTCGCCAGTACTACTGCTAGTAAAATTGTTTTATGTTTTCCGTAATAATGATTAAATGAAGGTGCTTGTAACATTACCTAGCCGTAACATTACAGTACATAAAATCAAATTGCCTCTATAGACCTTCGATGACGTTACATTTAATCATAGAATGTACTGTACAGGCAACGCGGATCCCGTATTAGACCGCGTCCCCTCCGCGGTGTATTAATCCTTTCCGCGTTGGGCTGATTTTGCTTATTGTTCATAATTCGTTTCAGAGCGAGAATTTGTTTACAATAACGTTGTAAATTATATGATAGAAATTCTTGATCATTATGAATAATAAATACATGATAGGGGAAGTAACTCAAAATAAAAGAACAGTGCTTGAATTTCTGGGTCTTGTTTCTTTATTTGTATTTCACCCAAAATATATACATGTCATCGGAAATACGGATACAGTAATGAATTTTACTTCATACGTCTATGAAATAAATGAATTTTAGAGAGATTGTATGGTTAAAAATAAAGTAGGTCTTTTTATCAACATTTTACATGGGAAAGGCATTGAGAATTGTGTAAACATTGATTCGACAAAAGGAAGGCTGGCTTAACCAGAATTAAACATATTTGGTACCACTAACCCTGTTCAAAAGTTCTTGAAAATTTCTATACTAATGCCAGGAACCTTGCCAATGTCCTTTAGAAAACTAGCTACTGAAAGAGTATTAAAACAAAACAAATAATATGCATGTACATTGTTCCGTACTAAGGAAAAAAATACATACCCCTGTAGCAATAACCATTGATCCTGATATGGTATGGCTTGCAGTAACAGATACCTATTGGCCCTTGTGAGATACATTCAGCATTCTCCCCACAATCACCTTCATATTTGCAGAAAACTCTAGAATAAACTACAAAATGTGGAAATTGTATAATTGTTTGCTTTTAATTTGTAGCCTAAGATTACTCCAATCTGAATCATATTTAAAAGAAATATGAGTTAAATATGACGTTTTATATGATTAACTTGAATAAATGTTGACATTCTTGTTATTAAACAATCAACATATGATAAAAATATGAACATTTAGTCAATAAGGAAATACGAAAACCTTCACGCAATGATGATTTTGTATTAAGTTGACATAGAATTTAATAATCTTTAAACGCTGTGTTTTTAGATCTGTATCTACTTACCATATTTCCAATCTTTACATTCTACAGACATATCCCTATAGTGTATATTGTCGTCACCATATGTATCTGAACAGAAATCTGTCAAAGGTAAATGCGTCCTTTGGGCCCCGTAGTTCAATACTAGACCAGATAATCTATACTGATTCCCTTTCCAGATGTTAGTAATGGATACATTACATGGATTAAGGCAGTGTCCTTAAAAATATTATCATACTTTTAGATACAAAACAATACGTTGTTTTCATGCATGTACATTTCCAATCATTTATCTAGATATAAAGATATATGATAATGAAAAGATAAAGATTATAAAGATTGATTGATTGTATACTGTTTAACGTCCCTCTCCAGAATATTTCACTGATGTGGAGACGTCACCATTGCCGGTGAAGGGCTGCAAATTTAGGCCTATGCTCGGCACTTACGGCCTTTGAGCAGGGAGGGATCTTTATCGTGCCACACCTGCTGTGACACGGAGCCTCGGTTTATACGGTCTCATCCGAAGGACCGCCCTATTCAGTCGCCTTTTACGACAAGCAAAGGGTACTGAGAATCTATTCTAACCCGGATCCCCACGCAGCTAGATTATAAAGAAAAAAGTCATGAATGTTATAAAATAACTGGTCCTTTTTATCAACATATGGTCGAATACTTGCCGTCTCGAAGGTTAATTTTTGCTTCGTCTAAAGAAAAACTGCAGCTACTTTTTGTCGCTATAAACTTTATTGGAATGTCCATGCAGAGTCTCCTAAAATTAATGACATGCATAGTATAACAAGTCATTGATTTAACAAAATAAACATGTGAAATACTCTACATGTTTAATACACTTTCTTTACACCTACCTACCTACCCACATGGACACACACTAGTACTTAAAGAACCACACCTTCTAACAAATGCACACACGTACATACACACACGTTCATTTTAAGTAACTAAGATACAAAAGTACTATAATAGTTTCCTTTAAAAAAGGAATAAATTCATTTTATTTATTACAATGTAAGCATTTAATCCGACAATTTATAGAATACATGAAATTGTACAGAATAAATGAACAATCCCCCTATCTTACCTAAAGATATCTTAAATTCATTTTTTTATAAGATAGAATTGGAACAAATCATACACTTAAAATGAGAAATTAAAAGTTGTAAGGATATCATTTGAAATGTATCACTTAATTGTTATTCATTAACATGCATTCCTTGTCTATCTATAACTAAAATTTCAAAATTTTTATGCACAGATTGAGATCTAAATGGAAACAAAATTAATTTTGGGAGTAAAATGTGTAGAGATGACAAACAGTATACAATCTCACAAGTCTATTTAAACAATTCAAATCAGAAGAAGAGCAAAATTGGACCAGTCTAGTACATCAGATTGGGATTATTTGGATGAGTGAGAATCCAAGAACATTATCCTCCCGAAAAAAATCAAATTTATTCATTTTGTTCACATAATCTATCACCTGACAGTAAAACTTCCGCAATTTTATTAATAATCATCTTAGAAAGAAATATAATACTAAAGTCAATAAAAAGGTCTTAAAATCAATAGAAATATTTATAGTCTAATAATTTCCATTTAATCTTTAATTTCTATTTCAATATTTGAAATCGTCATAAAATTAGTAATAAGTGTTTCTGTAATGAAATCTGAAATGACCTAGTGGGCTAATTAACCTTCTGAAATCAAATCTGTTTTGCATTATTAATTTGAAAACTTCCAATGATGATATAAATAACCAAGGGACGTATGTGTCACCTGCTTTGCAGCTTCATTACATTTGTAAATATATAAATAATGTACACTTTAAGAGTGTACTTTAACATGAAAATTCATGCTCCTGCCTGCAAAGAAAACTAGCACTCATACATAGTACGACACTACGATAGAATCTGCTTAACAAAGAAAGTATGGGTCTCAAATAATAACGAACGGAGCGAGCTCAATAGACTAACGTGAACATAAGAAATATAAGAAAAGAGGATATTCGGAATGAAATCTGTACATACGTCATAAGATTTTTGTTTGAAACATTCCAAGAATTCCATTGCTACCACGATTCCATGCGAGAATGGTGAATAAACAAACAACAATAAAAATGGTGAATAAACAAACAACATAAACATTGTTTTCGGTTTGTAGAAATTTTAAAAGCAACAAGAAAATACTCTACAATATCTTTTGTTAAAAATTGCACAAAGTCTTTAGTTTCAACCAGACGCTAAGCTGTCTCCGTAAACCCTGAACAGCCTCCTTACGTCGTGTGACGTCACAACTATTCAAGATGTCTCGTGTACCTTGATTTTTGAGGTGGCTGATTAATGTTTCAATTGTGTGTTTGATGGTACACCCAAACGGTCACACCGTAAAACATATCAATTAAATTTAAATCATTAGAAATATCTATTATTATTTATTTAAACGTGTTTCCGACAATCCTTCAAAGAGACTTCTACAGTCGGTTCTTCTTTCACTTCACAATGCGCAATCTTCGGCTGAATCCACAACGCTCCATATTCAAACAGTGTGGGAGAAGCCCCGAGTTTTCCGTCAACTTTCATCTATTCTTGAATGTCGATCTCCTTGTATTTTCACAGTATTGAAATATAACTTATTATAGTTATCGAATAATATACAATTTCAAGTACTGTATTATTATATATATAGCTAAATGTGTTTCAAACAATCCTCTTGAAGAGCTAAAAGTCAGTCTTTCTTTACTGCAATTGAAATTTTATACGATCCATTGTGTAACAATAATTATGATGTACTTTCAAAGTACATAAATATAAGTTTGTGTGGTAACTGTATATTCTACAGTTTCAAAGTACAGAAACAAGATCTCATAAACATGTATATATGCTACCGGTAAATATCAAAATCGTACATGTACCTCTTAAAATTCAGTCAATGAATTAAATTTAACTGCCCGGAGGAGGTATATTTTGCAAAGTAGGTCAATTGTCAAAGTGAAGTGGTTTTTATTACAAGTACTTTTCATAAAATATCTTATAAATATGCTGTATATAGGCACTATGAACTATTTTGAAAAGTAGGTAAAAGGTCAAGTTCAAGGGTCATGCTTTCAGTAACTATACTAATTTACAAAAGTCATAGTATCAGGTGATATTTGTGCAAAATATTAAATGCATAACCCTAACTATTTTAGAGATATCGGGAGTGACAGACTGACGGACGGATAGACAGGCGCCGGGTAAAGTGATCAATGTGTCACTCTGCTCTACAGGCGTAACAAAAACATTGATGACTTCGGTTATTTGGTTGAAAAACCTTACTTCATGTACTTTGTTTCATCTCTTTGCTTGCATATTTATTACTCTTCTCTGATATTCCATAAAATTCAATATGGAACATAATTATGCCTACATTCAAGATAATTATGCCTGCATGCAAGTACCCAATCTTTACAGAGAATCTGATTTTGATCGTGTTCATGGTTAAAATTTAGTCTGCCCATATTACCACAAGTCAAATATAAGGCAAAGTTCCTGTGTTAAAAAAGAAAGTCTCAGCATAAAATTCCCTATCAAAATTTTATCGTATATATTACATTTAAGTTAATTTTCCTTTTTTCAATGTTAATTATTTCTTTTAAAACGATGAAGAATAGATGATATGAAATAGATAAATCAAGGTAACTTAAACAAAGGATTTTTTCATTGCCTTCATATTTGAAAACTACTTTGTACATATTCATATGGTTTGAGAGGGATTCACTTATCCGGACGATTCATTTATCCAGACGATTACGTTGGCATCCGGATTAAAGAGGCAACACTGTACATTAAAATATCTTGCAAATTGACATTCTTTTCTTGCATGTTGATATTAATTATCCCGAATTTAGGGAGCAGAAATATACCGTCCTATGTTCCCTTTAAAAGATAAATCATTTTAAAATACATGTTTAAGGTTCAAAGTGATCCACAATTTGTTTATGAATTTCATAGAACATGCATCATGAAAGACGTAAAAATACAGTTAGAATATTTACAAACCTTTTTATTCTATCTGATCGTACGTAATGTAGGGTGACATGGACAAAGCATACTTGAAATATAAAAAGAATATGAAACATCATATAGCAGTTGAATACATTTTAAAAAAAACAAATATGTTGATAAAATCAAAAAGATGCAAAAAATGATTTTTGGGAATATGTTTTTTTTTCAAAATTGTTAGATCTGAGGTTAGGTATTGAAAATCAAATGTTTGTTTTATGTCTTTTATAGTATAACTAATCTATATGTATTAACAAGAAAAGTATTTGTTATAAGTCATGGTGGAAAAAAGGCACACAATTTATTTTTGATTTCTATGATACAAATGTAATTTTGTTGGGTTACCAAGAATTTTTAAAATTATATTTTATTAATACCCTTCACTTTGTTCTTAGAAAAATATTGAGTTGTATAAGAAAAAAATTACAGTTGAATTATGATCATAAGGCAATTCAAAGAAACCAGCCCTTTTCCCCAAAATTCTTTCAAGTAATTATAAAAAGCAAACAAGGTGCAAGAGATTTCTACGATTTTCTTATAAGTCAGAAAGATAAAAAACAAAAAAGTAAAATGAAATGAAGAACATTTTGGATTTAAATGTTGATGATTTTTGCTTGAAAAAACAAAACATTTTGTAAATAATATACAGATAAGATGGTTCTACTATAGAATTGTACATAGAGTTTTAGCAAAAAATACATTTCTACACAAAATTGGTGCTACTGACTTTGTAGTTTTTGTAAAACCCATCAAGAGACACTTACACGTAGCCACTTTTTAGCTCACCTGAGCCGAAGGCTCAAGTGAGCTTTTCTGATCAAAATTTGTCCGTTGTCTGTCGTTGTCGTTGTTGTTGTCGTTGTCGTCGTCGTCGTAAACTTTTCACATTTTCATCTTCTTCTCAAGACTTGGCACAAAGTATCCTTGGGTGAAGGGGATTCAAGTTTGTTCAAATGAAGGGCCACGCCCTTTTCCAAGGGGAGATAATTATGAATTTATTAAAAATTAATGGCATTTTTAAAAAATCTCCTTCTCCAGAACCGCTGGGCCAGGAAAGATCAAACTCATGTGGAAGCATCCTCAGGTAGTGTAGATTCAAGTTTGTTCAA